TGTTAAATAATGTGTTTGGTATGAAAGAGTACGACGCTTGAAATTCATTATTTACGAATAGAGCGTCGTACCGAATATTTTAATTGGATCACTGAGTACTAGCAGACAGGTTTCAAAAAGCGGGAGTGGAGCAATGCCCAATGATGCATCTGAAAACACGCATACAGGACTTTGAAAAAGTGCACGAAATCTGTAGAATAATTAAACATGACTCAAAACGCTTGTTAACGAAAAAGCGACAGTACCACTATTTTCGTAGCTGCAACGAGATCACGCAAGTTTCTCCGTACGTGGGTGGAACAATATTGTGGTCGGGTAATGTGAACTTACATGAAAACATGCTAATCATAGGATAGATGGTAGCGGGACAAATATGAAAATTGAGTTTGTGAGTTCATACAGAGTCACTCTGCATTAGTCACTTGGAAGCTTTGGAAAGAATTCATGCTCGAATTGGGGAGTCTTATTCATCGGTGTGTAAGTCGTTCAACCAGAATCGGCACAACTACCAAATGCTGGATGATTTGAAAAGGTTATTTGGAATTCTGGTCGCATAGAATATCTCGTGTGAACCTTCGTCATGGAGTATCATGCGGATAAACGACAAGTTCGGGAGTACAGAAGTGCTGAAGCAAGCAGTCGTTGAAGCTCGGGCGAATTGATATCACCTACATCTGATTCAGTTCCAGTATGCATGGAAGCTGTTGGATGTCGCAACTAATGAAGAAGGAACCATAAATTATTAACACCTTTGTGTGTCATTAGTCTTATCGTTAGCTTACCGTTCTTTTTCTTGGATACCTCATAGTTATGAGACGTATTTTTAGTATCACCAACAGAGGTTCATGATGGGGATCATGAACCCCTGTTGGTGGTACTAAAAATCCACAGGTGGCTGCTTGTTCCAGAAGTGCAAAATTTTAGAGTGACTTTATTATTACGAAATGCCTGTATATTTGCACTATACGATGAGAACGAGTCTTTGTCGTAGTAAGTTCAAGAAAGTAACCAAGCACACCTTTTTTGTAACAATCAGAATACCGTAATATGCCCTCTTACTCGTCATAAAAAATGATATGATTCTCTCATCACTCATGTAGGCTTTTTGATGACATTCAGCTACAGCTCATACCAGGTTGATCGAGCCAACTCTTCTGGAAGACACACACCCTCGGTGTCTGACCTCTACAACTGTCACACAATAAATATTGATCTGAGCCTTTGCCTCTGTCCTTAGACCTGAATCCAATTAAACTCAGTTGATGTCTCTGGAATCAATACAATGAGAGGTGGTAGATGAAACATACCGAGAAATATTGTTTTTAATATGATGCATCATCGATTGAGAGCGAGTACCTTTGTGGTTATCAAAAGAATGTTGCAATCTGATTTCTTTCAGCTACAGCTCTCGTCTGGGTGATAGATGAAAAAGATCAAGAAATTCAGTGGGCGGAGGAGCTGATTTCTGCAAGACCTTCATTCACTCTACGTACATGTTCAGTTAAACGAATCATACAGATGTTTCTCCAAAGGTGATTACACCTCCATAAATTCCGAGCTCTCTCAAATTGATTGGGTCACATTAAGTAATACGTCCGAAAGTGTAGACATGTTCTACTCGAAATTTCTTGACATATTGCCGCAATGGTGCGTAGCAAGTAATGATGACCATCAGGCAAAGACATACGAAACTGAAAGATATCAAAAAGGATATACTTCCTCAAAAGGAAAGTTGAGCGGTCGCACTCTGTCCACATCGTACCGGATTCAGATATAGAACTAATTTAAGGAGACTTAGTCGCGCTCTTCTTCGACATCAGCTCATGCAAGAAAAGAAAGTGGCCATTTCCAAAAACTCAAAACGTTTCTTTAACTTTTGTAAGAAAAAGCTAAAACTAGCTTACAGCATCCCAACTTTGACCTCATCAGACGGCATCAAAATTACAGATGACTTCGCTAAGGCCAACCTATTCGCAGATTATTTCCAATCCGTGTACAAAAGGACCTGTTGCGGCGATGCATATTTGCCCACTATGACTTCTGAATCCCTAGATTGGATTGACATATCCACTGCCAACGTTTACACCGCATTACGCAAGCTCCCGAACAGAGTGTCTACCTCTCCTGATGGTGTACCTTACATCTTCCTTAAAAAAGCTGCTTTAGGGGTTTCAGCCCCTCTCACCATATTATTCAACCGAATCCTACTTCATGGAGACGTCCCCAAATTATGGAAGATCGGACTTGTCAAACCAATTTTCAAAAAAGGTTGTAGGAAGAGTGTTTCAAATTATAGACCTATATGCTTAACTAGCTCTGTTAGCAAAGTCATGGAGCGCATGGTTTGTCGTCGCATTACCAGCTTTCTGACAGAGAAGGACCTGCTCCATAATAACCAACATGGGTTCTTGCGGCGCAGGTCCACCCTGTCTGCACTGCTGTCCACAGTCCCCCTCTGGCAAAGGGAACTTGACAAAGGAAATTTCGTCTCAGTTTGTTACGTGGATTACGCTAAAGGCCTTCGATTCCATCTCAATCCCGTTACTCCTAAAGAAATTAGAAGCTTATGGTATCAAAGGTCGACTTCTTCTGTTTTTGCAATCCTTTTTGAGCGATAGGACGCAAGCAGTGCTCATAAACCATTCACGTTCCCGCCCTTACCCAACACCTAGTGGCGTGCCTCAAGGTACGTGCCTTGGGCCCCTCATGTTTATAATTTATATTAATGACTTGATAAATTCAATTCCTTCGGGAGCTCTTTGCAGTTTGTATGCCGACGACTCAAAAATCTATTCAGTCAACGACTGCCACGCGCTCCAGACAGCTATAAACTGTATACATGCCTGGTCAGTAAAGTGGAATTTGGATATATCCCTTCAAAAAACAGCAATTATGTGTCTTGGAAAGAATCATCCAGAACTTTACTTTCTCCATAGGTGGTGCCCCACTGGCTCGTGTTTGCCAAGTTCGTGATCTTGGCATCGTTTACAGTGACAAGCTTGAGTTTGATGATTTTATACATGGAATAGTTGCTAATGCAAGCTCAAGAGCCAATTTTATTTTGAGAGCTTTCAAAATGCGCGACCCCAAACTGCTTTTCCAGCTGTTCAGTCTTTACGTTCGTCCGATTCTCGAATATTGTTCACCGATATGGTCACCATACAAAAAGTCGCTTGTTGATGAAATTGAGAAAGTTCAAAAAAGTTTCACCTATCGTTGTTTTATTCGCAGAGGGGTAGCGTCGCTATCATATAAGGAGCGGCTTCGCATACTTGGAGGAGAATCGCTTGAATTCCGACGTAAGTTGATAGATTTCGGACTTATGTATAAACTCATCGCTGGTGAAATTGACTTGAAATTGACCGACATCTTCCAGATGTCCCCATCGATAGGGATATCTAGAGGCCATCCCTATCGCTTGCGTCCCGAAAAGCCCCATACACGTGCATACGAAGGAGCGTTTCCCATCAGAGTTGTTTCGCTTTGGAACAAACTTGATTCAGACTTTTTCAAATATAGGCATTCGGAAACTCCAACTATCCCTATATCTTAAACAGCTTGCTGATTCTGAGACGACGTAATGGGTATTGTAAGCATGCGTCGGCGCAGCGGAAGCATACCGCGTCCGCTCCGCCGACACATGGCTTCCCACAGCACTACTGCATATGGAGTACTACTATCCCAGGCACTGCCTTCGCGGTGCGTTCGTTCTTTTTTCGTTGAGGTTCGCTTCCGCTGCTGTTTGTGACGCCTACAACATAGTCACTTACTCTCTCGTCAGTTCGGTCTACCCTCGCCAAATGCTGCCCTTCAGCTACCGAAGGTATTGAAACTACTTGCTTGAAAGTAAGTGCTTTTCCAGTTTCTTAGCTTCTCTTGGCCGATACTAAATCACTTCAATTTCAGCAACTTTCAGCGATCACTACCACATCCCTCCTCTATAACTTGATCTATAACTCCACTAGCCAGTTGTGTGTTTCCCATTGTCACAATTGTTCTTGATATTCCTTCTGGAGTTTCACTATTCTGTGCCTTTGTTCCCTTTTATATTTTGAAAAAGACCCTTTCTCCTATTATATGGCCCCAGGAGGAGTTGGCGGACCTACTAAGTTGGTATCCGGAGCCGTCCCCCACCAGCGGCTTGCAGTGTTGGCCGCCCACTGCCCTTCGCCTCCTTGTTGGGCCACTGACCCTCCCCCCCAATGTAGGGGTAAAAACGGGTACGTGTTCAAAAGACGGGTCCAAAGACGTTAATACTGCTCCCGTCAATGCATCCATAATCTTTAGAAATGAGAAGCTACCCCTCTGGAAGTACTCGAAAATCTGGGAAAAGGACATCGTAATGAAAATGAAATTGCTCACCAAAAGCGCCAAACGATGTGGTACGGTGTTTCAAATACGAAATCCGGATAACGCATTTGAGTTTGCGTGATCAAACCTTCGCATTCGGGCAGGTCGTAGAACTAAAATGTTGTGTGTTTGTTACTTGTTCGCTCGATTGCTTTCTTGGTCTGTTATACTTTTATTAGAGAAGCTCTATGTTGGTCTGTTAGGCACAAGAGGTTGGGCGGCGCCTCTAGTGCATACACATACGTAATCTGAAGTTCGAAACCCGACACAATCCACTTATCATTTGCTAAATGACTTACCTCGAACTCGAAACACATCGTCCCCTTGCTGATCACTCCGAAAAGAATTGCAAATCCAGCTATCAATTTTCGATTACTGAAATGAAAACTATACCATAAAGTTGGAACAATAAGGCACAAAGCCCGAATGGTTTATGAGATGCCGCGGAAGTTTTACTCGGCTCTAATGCACATACGATTGAAGGCGAGGTCAACCAAAAGGGCATCTGGACACAACCCCTACCACCACCGTCAGCCTTTCAAGAGTCCCCGGATACGACCTTAGCTCGCCGATTCGACAACCACCCTCAACTTCACTTGGCTGTTTCTAGCTTTCGAGTCGTTCTATGGTGTTAGTTCTTCCAGGACTAAGCCCAGGAGGGGTCAGCAACTCTAGGAATCCAGGTAAATTGATGATGTCTCACGCACCCTAATGTCTCCTCTCCTCCGCATATGGCTTAGCTTCGTTGAAAAAAAGATGTTCAACGCAGTTTAAATGCATCGCCATCGCATTGCTCCCAATCTTGTGATAGCGCCTTTGATTCTAAAACTAAACAATTCCCCCCCCCCACCCCACACACACTTTCTTCCTGCAAGTTGCCGTCGAGCGGGGTAGATTTATTCCTATGAAGCGGTAAGCCATCTAATTTTACCTATTTTTGACAACTTCGTGCCTGATAGGATCGCCTTTCGCAACCACGACCTTTCTACTTCCGCAAATGCGCTCCCATTTTGACCGTTTAACATTCGCCAACCCAAATAACGACCCTTATCGTTGGCATTTCTACCAATCAACCGTAGCTCTGGTTGAAGGAAAAACCAAGCGAAGAAAGAATGAGTTCCACCCCGCTGACTTCACCTCAACTCTAGCGCATTTTGCAAAGGAAATAGAGAAAGCTAGAGTTTGCCCATTCAATTCAACATACTTTTGAGCGAATGGAAGAAAAGGAGAATTCACAGTGAGACAGTAACGCTCAAACGAAGCGCACACGATGAGAAAAGACGACGACGTCATAGCCACATGAGATATCGTTATCATTGGTACCATGTAAGAAAACCTGAAAGCGAATTCGTATGGCGTCATTTTGTACGGTTTCTATCCGAAGCCAGCCTTACATAAAAAAAGCAAGAAGCCATCCATTTGAATGTGCCTACTGTATGGCTTCAGATTCCTGCATCAAAGAAAGGAAGCCTGCATGAGTCGGATTCAGGCACTATCGCGCTATACGGGGACGCCTTTGGGACTAGGCCTAGAAGGGATAGCGGTATCTCTCCTCAACGCCTTAGTCTGACCAAATTTTCAGCAAAAAAAAGGTTTTAATTGCATTGTCACCTTAGCGCTCCGTATCTTTTGATAGCATCCGGATTGTTATTCTTCTTCGAGGTAACTACAGTAAGAAATAAGAATCTTTGCGTCACAATTGCTACAACTGCTGCGCTCCAGCAGATTAGCGACATGCTCCAAACCTCCCGTAGCGTCTAAGAAAGAGTGCGGTCGACTTAACGAAGCTACTTCTGTGTAACGCAATTCATATATATATATGCTTTATTGAATTTAACAAGCTAGTATATTAGAACTATGACGGGCGGAAATAGTGTGGGGCAAGTGGAGCTGCTTTTCATGCGTACGACCCGAGGAATAGAACCTGGGTCGTACGTCCTTTTTCTACCGCTCCTAGGTCAGTTAGCTGTTGTATTTATGAGCCAAATCGCATTCATGATGTCACTATGATACTGCGTCGGAGTAGACTGCATGGCGCACCCAAGAAAGCGATTTTAGGGCACATTTTCAGCGTTTTTAAGTTGTTCTTCTTTCTGTTTTCTCTCATCGTTGGGGTGCGCTGCAGTTCTACTCCTCAGGTCAGGTCATCTAAAAATTGAGGCATCACTCACACTTCTTGGAGCAAGCTCAGGACTAAGCCTAGGTCACTGTTCACGAGCTTAAAGCTAAGCCATGTGCAGCACAGCCTGAGCATAAACCGAAGCTTACCTTAGGTTCCAGTGATCGCAAACCTCTGGTGACCTGACCCCTGGAGGAGAACTGAACGTCTCCCGTTCGCTTTAAAGTGCACTACCTCTGAAAGCAACACTAGTGTGTAGCATAACATCTGCCCTTGAATAGGCTTACTAAATCGTATCACAAATGAATTTGAACTTCTGAATAACTGCGTATATGATGTTAGCTTGGAAACGTCACTTATGAACTGTAACTTACCATATTTGCATTAAACGAGCAGATATGAGATAATCAATGAGGACATTCACAGACATCAGAACCCGCCATCAGCAAGTTATAGGCCGTGCTCTACGAAGATGTCGAAGAAGGCCCAACTAACATCAATAAACATTGTTGATTGTGCGGTGATTGCTTTTGCAATGTAATGTTACATCGCACAGCAATAACCGCTAACTCAGTCCATTAATGAATTACTAGCTGTACTATGTGCTGAGGCCAATTACTCTACCTTTTTTCTCTACTCGCGCTTTGCTTCACTAGAGCTCCTTCATCTTGAAAGGTTACGGGGGCTGCTGCAACTACTCATTGAGACATCACCACAGGATCACATCTTTGACTTCTTGATTCTTCAAGTTGTTTTTTAAGTTCGTTGTAATAGCGTTAGCGTGCATGTGCAAGAGTGCCCAGACAACGCTTCCAAACGCCTAATCCCAAGCCTTGTAGTTAACATGTCCCCAGCGACGAACTTGAAGGAAGGAGGGTTGTCCATCTCGTCGTGAATCACTGTCTGGGACCTATAATCATACTAATATATAAACCAGAGTTTGTTTGTCTGTCCGCTCCCCTAGAATTCGCAAGTGTCCATCCAAACGTTTGTAATTTTTGATGATCGCAATTTGATGATTTTTGATGATTTTTGTAATGATCGCAACGAGCAACCTGGCAATGGTCCCGTGTCCCCAGTGGAAATTGGCCAGCCCCAAACTACTAGCCCGTTAGCAGACCTAGCGTACTTGCCACGCCCCAAAAATTTTACAGCTAGTTCCACTACTTCCTGCAGCTTCGTACCTCATCATCCCTCTTCTCCTCTTTCTTTCTCTCAAGCTATCTTGCCCTCACTCTTTGCTTTTCTTTGCTGCTATCGTTTTCAATGAACAGGTTCCCTCTGCAACAAAGTACTCTCCTTCCATTCACGATTAGCAGAAGTAGAGAAGAAGGAAGTAGTGACCGAGCCATCATTGCGCAACTCGGGTCAGTATCATCCCCCACGAAGTCATCTACTCTCCGCAGCCGTCTTTCGCGCTCGGTATCGTGCGCAGCCCAACTGGTTTATAATAATAAGTAGAACAACAAAAAACCGCTTTTGTAAAAAATTCGACGGTGGGACTGTAATATGTTTAAATTCCTGCTTTTCAGATCTGCCACAAATGTTGACAACGGAAGCGATTCCGCTTTGTTGTCAGAGCGCCTTCGCTTTTTTTGCCCTTTCCCACCTGAAGCGTCAGCATTTCTCTTTCTGGGTACATGTTTTCTATTTCATTGATCGTTTTGTCTCTAATCTCCAAATTTGAACGCTTCAACCCGACTCTTTCAGTACGTCTCGTCCAACAGTGGCCCAATGCTGCATCTTGTTCACCATCAGCCATAGCTCACTCGTTTCGAAAGGGTGCATCAAATTTCAAATTTTCCACCCAATCATTCCCTTTATGCTTACTGGTAATCAAAGGCGCTGCTTACTTTATTTGAGAACACATTATGAACACCTTGATTGTCGTGAATCAATCTTGTTGAGCTTTTCGCAGAATACTCGGCAGAAATAATGGGTCACGCTTTCGTTTGACCATGAGACCTTTTGTGACACCAGCTACCGGTGTACCGCCACACTTTCGGTGGCTTCAATCTATGTCGATGCGCTAAGCAAAACATCCAACAGTTCACGCTCCCACTGTGAAGCTGAACGGTCCGTGCTTGTTCGCCAGCACTCACTGCCATGGAACATCGTGAA